TGGTTCGAGGAATGACACTCCGAAGGAATTCAATTTTCAATTATCGGAAATCATCGACTTTGTGTTAATGATAGAAACTACCTTGCACTAACGAGTGGCCAAACGGCCCTAAACCGGTCTGCAAATGTGTTCCAATAATTGCAAATCTATTGCGGCAGTTGTATCACCAACAGCATATGAAGGAATAACTTCAGTGAAGAACCCTGCACTGACACTTGTCGGATATAATCCAACGCCCTTTGTGGTATTAGCCAGGGGAGTAGTTATTTTCTGGATAGGTATCAGTCCATTAACCTACAGTGTAGGTAATTTGAGACTGGCCTAATCGAATTGATCTTTTAGATAATTTGATTTACAGCCAGATTCCAAGTATGCCCACTCAATTTGTTACTATCCATGATGATAATTGAACAATAATTCCAACAAACATTTTTTCAATTCTAGACTCATTTCGCTAACACCGTAGCTTCATCGGTAATAATGATGAAGCTACGATGTTAATAAAACGCGTCTAGAATTGAAAACTGTTTGTGAACGTTGTTCAATTATTATCATGGAAAATATTCATTTAAAGTTTTCACTTTTTACTGGAAGGGGGGAGATATCAAGGGTGGGAAGTTTTCAAATTACCATTTTCAAATAAACACCCTGTATTTTCGAGGTAAACATTTTTCTAGAGTGATTTCATCAAAAACTAAATGAAACATTTCGCGTGTTACCCATTTATAGATAGATCAAATATATTTTGAATATCCTCTACTTTCACTGAAACTTTTACCTTTTCCATTGAATATTTATGTTGCAGTAAATGATACTAAGAATGTAATAATGCAGAAATTCAGATGGTAGAGGGAAGATAAACCCAGACCGTAACCTCTTTTCCCTAATCCGTATAACGATAATGTTTTGAAGTAACATAAAATTTAATATTTTTTGTCCTGCTGTACATTTTTCATTGAACATAGGTACGGTTCCCTTCTGGAAAATTATTTTTTCTGAAAAATTTTATTTCATGCTAAGAACTTTTTTATAGTATTAATTTACTCTAATGAAAACATTTCCCACACCAGTGAGACATTGCTTTATATTTGATAATCATGCTATATATGAAATTATTATGTTGAAAAACGGTGAACTACAACCACGGCGTTGCTGAATGATTACTTCACATTGCGAATGTAAAATCAACTTTCGAATGGGACTAGATATCAAGTTGGGACAAAATTCACATAAATATGATACTTTTTCTCATGTAGAAATGGAAGCTTCTTTTGATCCTGATATATTTTTCCATGCAACTGGTTTATTTTTGGAAATCGGATCAGCCGTTCATGGGTGATTGTAGTTTCAATTTCTTTATCGAATCAACAGAAACGGTAAAAATCATTATTTCGATAAAATTTCCATTCGAAACTCTCTCCAATAAATATTATTCGAAAGACACATCCAAATTTTTCACTTTTTGTATTCATTAGACGCTGAATTCGTTGAATTGGACGCTAAATTGTCTAATCATTCTCGCTGGTGTGAAATCATTTGCAATTAAATATTAACAAATTCCCCACAACAACAAAAAAAATTGAGAGAGATCAAAAAAATGGAAGATAAGTGACTTTTAACAATATTCAATTGAAAATCATGAGGAAATGAGGTCATGATGCTCTAATTTATATTATTTTATTTTATTTTTCAAAATTTTAGTTTTTCCAAAGACATTTCGATTTCAACTGTATCAAACTGTAGAAATAAGATTTTTTTTAATTATTTCCTTCTATGCATGAGAACTGAAAGTTGAAAGTTGAGTAGCTTTTACTGAATATTTTAGCGATTGAATGCTGTAGACCTGTTCAACCGATTATAATAATATTAATTCTTTTCATAGGTCATTCATTGTACGAGTGGAATTTAGAGCGGTAATTTCATCGTGAATTGAGTCCACGGTTTTTTATAACCGTTGTAATTTCCAGTCGAAGGGATTCAATAATCCGAATACAAATTTACATGTACATAATTTTTTAATATTTAGTTAGATAATGATTATCAGTGTGATACGAATGTCATTATCTGATTTTACTCGAGTTTTGATTGACTGATTCGAACAAAAAACAGTTATTGTGTGACTTTATTAATGATAGTAGTACCCTATTTTCATGTATCATCAAAAGTGTTTGCAGTACGAGACACATGATAACTTCAATAGCCCCAATTTTTATATGAATCCCTATTTTTATTCAAATACGCACGTAAACTAGAGCCCATGTAACTCTCTGATGTAATGTGGTTTTCCATAGGTGAGAGAGTATTAAAAATCGATCAAGTAGTTTTTTTTTTTGTAAATTCATCACAAAAATATATGAAAATAATTAAATATTTCCTATTTTAATAGTATGCGAGTAGATTATATCAACAGGTTCCAAACGTTTTATTGTACACCTCATACAATGTAGTTTGATCGTTGAAATAAGTAAATCATGGACGAATGTGAAACTACGGTGCAACAAAAAATACTTCATTTCGGCAAAATCACACAAGCATATGTAAAAACTAATTAATACAGTTTATTGTATAATTTTCACTATAAAGGGTTTTACAGAAACGGTGACACGTGTTTCGCTATACAATAGCTTTCTTGAGCATAAATTAATACTAAAGGTTACTTCCAAATTATAACCATTTTATCCTCTAACCTTTTACCTAATGGTATGCCTAATTTCTACAGAATGAATCTACCTGAAAAGATCAGGTATGAATTCATTAACTATATAAATAATTTCTGGAAAGTACCTACCGTAAATATTTCTAACTATTTTTACCTGGAAATGAACAGATTTAATATTGGTACATTATTCAATTCAGTTTGATCGTTCATAAGATATTCATAAGAGTTTTTGAATTTGTTTATTTCCATACTCTCCAACAGGATAAGTTTGAAACCTTTCTTCTGGAAATGGAGGGGTTTGTATTCATGGTTGAACTCATGTCCTGTGATCAAGTGAGTGGCATATGTGGAATTTATTTTTCCATTCTGGAAACTATATTTGTGTTCCTTTATGCAGGCTTTGAACATTCTTCCAGTTTGATGAATATAAAACATCGGACATGATCCACATGATAATTAATGCACTCCCGATTTTTTTGAAACTGTACTTTTATCTTTATTATTCTTAATGTGCATGCCTAACTTATTGTTGGTTTTGAAAGCAATATTTACACCTTTGCTGTGCCGAAAATCTGAAATATTTGTAGTGGGTTGGCTTAACTTGGTTAAGGTTATATACATTTTTTCCTCTTCTCTTCGAATTGAGTAAACTTCTTTCAAAGCTTGACAAAGCTATCGTAATCATTGTTGACAGCTATTTGTTTTATTATGTTCCATCCTTCATTGAAATTCGCCTCTGACAAGGACACATTTATTAGTCTGTGGATCATACTGTTGAAAGCTGCTACTTTGTGCTGATACGGGTGGGTGGATGAATTATTAATAATAACATCTGTATGTGCTGGTTTACGATAAATTGAAAAATCATGTTTGCTGTTAACCTATGTTATTGTCAAGTCCAAAAAATGTATAGAGTCGTCCTTTTCCATCTCCATTGTGAATGTGATAGAAGGATGGAGAGAATTGATGAAATTCAAAAAGTTAGTCAGCTGTCTATTCGTTCCTATGAAACATACCAGCATATCATCCACATATCTATACCAATACACAAATCTTCTTACCAGTGGGTTACTGTGTATTTTTCTCTCCAAATCGTCCATGAACATCTCTGCCAGGATAGAGTAAGTGGGTTTCCCGTTATGAGACCTTTGCAGGATGAGTAAAAAGTTTCATTGAATTGGAAATCATTCTGTGACAAACACACCGTAAGCAAGTCTAATATTTCCTTTTTCACTACCGGATTGATATACTTTTCGTCCAATAGATTATCTACAAGAGTAATCGTTTCATTCGGAGGAATACTGGGTAACAAATTCTTTACATCAAATGAAATTAATTTGGCATTATCAGGGAGTGTAATATCTTGAATTTCATTGAACAAGTGGTATGAATTCCTCAAACTGAATTTTGATTTGAAATTGGTGTGGTTTTGAATAATTGCAATGAGTTTTTCGGATATTTTAACTGAAGGAGCTGTGAGGAAAGAAACTACCGGTCTAATCGGGTAGTTATCTTTGTGTAATTTAATTAACGAATAAAGTTTAGGTGGTTGTAGGTTCATGACTAACGATCGGAATTTTTCCGTTTTACCATGACACAATGGATATTTTTCAAAGTTTCCTTGACTTATTTCTGATATAAATGGGTGGGGTCGTTTCTCTGAGACTATCGTACATGCCAGCATTTAGAAAGTTCAGTCTTCTCTATGTATTCTTTTTTGTTCATGGCTGTGACCGTTTTGCCTTTATCAACTCGCGTAAAAACAATGTTATTTTCTGTCAACAATGATTACGATAGCAGTCTAATACATTCTTTATTATCAAAAAAGTTATACAGTCAAGCTTTGAAAGAAGTTTACCCAATTCGAAGAGAAGAGGAAAAAAGTTATAGAACCTTAACCTACTTAGGCCAACCTACTACAAATATTTCAGATTTTCTGCACATCAAAGGTGTGAATATTGCTTTCAAAACCAACAACAACTTAGGCATGTATATTAAGAATAACAAAGATAAAAGTCCACAATTTTCAAAAGAGAGGTTTGAAACTTGGCCTGTTGGAGAGTATGGAAATAAACAAATTATATCTTATGAACGATCAAACTGAATTGAATAATTCGCCATTATTGAATCTATTCATTTCCAATTAACAGTATATTTACAATACTTTTATGATATAGTTAATGAATTCATATCTGACCTTTTCAGGCAGACTAATTTACTAGAAATTAGGCATATGAATAGGTCAAAGGTTAGAGTATAAAATGGTTGTAATTTAGAAGTAACCTTTAGTTTTAATTTATGCTAACGCTTTAGTAACGATAAATTACAAAATTCAACTTACTTTCTTGAAATATCCACCATGCAATCTCATGTGACCATTGAGAGCGGGGATATTCTTAAATTTTCTGTGGCATAGGTTGCATTCCACTGGTTTCTGTTCCGGTTTTCCTGTAGTTGAATTAACCGGAGATGTAGTGGGTGTAGATGTTGTGGTGACTTTCGCCTGAGGACTAGGTGCACCACTGCTAGTGCTGCTTCCACTTGATCCGCCGCTGTTTTTGTTCGATGTACCCTGTTGCTGATTTGCCTGAAAGCAATGAATGTGATATAAATCTTGATAAAATGTTATCACTAGTTCTCAATTAATTCGTTTCACTCGTGCAGGTTGGAAGTTGAGATCTCGTTAATCCTCAGTTTCGTCTTTTGAGGGATGAGAGCTGTTCAACGTAAAAATAGATTAAACCAATTTGATTGAACAAATTTTTCGTAACCTCCGAATTCCATATAATTTCGAAATTATTTTTCACCAGAAATAATTTCAAATAAATGAATTTATAATTCATATTATTATTAGCTTTGTCATTAGCAAAGAAAACGTTGATAATGAATACCATACTATTTCTGAAATGTTTTGTAGTAAAATTCTTGTTCTATAGGCAGTTATCAGGAGCATTGTAGAAATTCCTTATCGTCAAATTTAATAATCAAGCACTTTACGCTTCGTTGTATAGCCATAATCATATAGAGCTTGTCATCTACAATACAATGACAACAGTTTTAAATTGATAGCATTAACCGTTATAAAGATACACAACTTTAATACTACACGTTTATGGAAAGCTAGTGTGACGTCACGAGATATGTTCCATTGTCGGTGAACTGCGCCTGTACCACTGAACTGTTAGAAAGCAAATCATTTCATGGTTGACGTTTGAATGACAATGTGACCGGTCCAGGAGATTTTTATTGAGGCAGACCCAAGAAATTTACGATATACTTATACTTAATTATGGACTAATATACCAGCGAAATGAGAGGGGCCAAAGTTTAGAGATGAGTTTGACGTTGAATTATGAATATAAATATGACATTCGATAATCTAAAGTGTACAAAACTAGAATTTGACTTTGATTATTCAAAACCTTTTTTGGGTCAAAAGTCTAAATTTGACGCTTTGTTAATCAGAATGACTTTTCTGAAAATGGAAACTATTAGACATCACTTTTGTTTTCAATCTTATGATGCATTTTTTCATAACTTTAAGGTACTTGAAACTCTCACTATTTTGCGGTGGCAAAAATAAAATACTTAGAGAGCGGTTGCTGGTCAGGCTCTGGACCCGAAGCTCTGACCTATTTAGAGGACGTGTCATTATCGTTAACAAATAATCATTTATGAAAATCGGGGGATGAATTATCATTGGGTCCGATAATCGAGTACCCTAAGAAGAAGTAGCGAATCAAGAATAATGGTCTTCTCCATTTATCCGCCTAGGATTTAATTTTTGCCGTCTCGATGTAAGCCAGTATGAAATCCTATTGAAGTTATCATTCCACCTAGAACTCCTATAATCGGAACAATCATCCTAATAGAATGGTCTGGATAGAGTGTATGGAGTGCAAGGGTTCAAGAATCATACATCCCAAGCAGACAAAAATTGATATTACCTTCTATATTATTATAACTATTATTATTGTTTTCACTGAGGTGGCGCTGGTTGAGCTATCATATCATTATTGAAATTGTTCTAAAGAGGATTTGCTGATCAAGTACTCCAACCTACTTGATGGTAGGTCGGTAGCCGGGCGGTTCGACGTGGGTGCTTTGTTCACTCACTCAATTCACCTATGTGTAAGTTGGTGGTTCAAGCCATAGGCTGAACGATCGGTTCTCACTTGCTATCGTCCAACCCCTGTTAGGAATCACACGGTAAAAGGTAAGACCTCGTTAGTCCTTAGCTCGCACAAGTTTCGACTCCTGAGGGTTGTTGTTTGTGGAGGTGTGACAGCTGGTTAACGGAAAAACATATTTTGAACATATTTTTTTTTAATATAAAGAAAAAGGGCTTCATTGGTCAATGACCACTATTCATGCCGTGCGGTGACTGATCATTAGGTCCAGGAGGAGGAGATACTTTTTTCAATATTATTACGTGCATTATTATATATTCGTACTCAAATACACATTACATTTCACGGGAAACTGAATAGACGAGACCAGATTATATTCATTCTTGAATATTTTTGACGTAATGGATTGAACGAAATTATGATTTGGTGTTCCTCGGTTTTCATAATAATGATAATAATAATAGTATAGTTTTCGACTCTGAACGTCTAACCACAAGGATTAGCCAATGCATGGGATTTCTTCAATAACATTGGAGACCATGGCTTATCTAAGCGCCTGACGTTCGCTTTTCTCAGGTCAAGTGGGCTGAAGTCAGAAACTGAGGGGTTCATCATGGCTTGCCAGGATGGTGTCTTCAACACCTTAGTTTACCGCAGTAGAGGTTCCTGACACAAGGTGCAGGGCCTGCCGCGAGGCGCCCGATACCCTAATGCACTTGCTATCAGCATGTCCAGCGTATGCGGTCTCGGCCTATATCCATCGATATAACGCGACCCATAGAGTGCTATATTACCATCTGCGGCACTCTTACGGTATTGTCGAGATACCGGTGTTGTCCTACTCTCCGGAGGATATTGAATCCGTTGTGGGGAACGAGAAGTGCCGAGTATATTGGAACTATACGTTCCCCACACTCAGGCTCATGCAAGCTAATAAGCCTGATGTAGTCCTTCTCGACCACCAGAGCAAAACGATATTTGTCGTGGAGTTTTCAGCTCCTGGCGGGACGAATATCATCAGAAAAGAGGAGAAAAACGGATAAAATACCGAGATTTTCTCTTCGAACTCCGCAGACTGTATCCAGATCACTCTGTCAAGATGGTTGCTCTGTATTTGGTGAAATGATGCCCTCCATACTCTCGAATTTCAAAATCATACCGGCTTGCCGCACTAAGGCAGAAATCTTAGCCGCATAGACGCAGAAGGCTGTTATTCTTGGCTCACTGCGCTTGCTCAGGGCACATGATTCTTGGACCCAATGATCACTTACACCACGATGTGGGGAGTTGTCGTTGGTTGATAATGCTGGCGCGACCTCCCGAATGTATTGGGGTTTCGGGGGATAGGGCCTGACCAGCGCACATTACGGTGAAAATAATAACAATAATAATAGCAATTATAACAGAGAGGCTATGGACTTTTCAGTTTGGAGTGTGAACATGACAGAATGGTAGCGGATAGAGCTTGTAAAGTCGTCAGGAGTTCGGATTCTCTTCTCTGCATGGTTTGCAACCATGAGAGAGCAAAAATTGAAGCATTTCTCTTCAGAGAAGATGCTCGAGCAGCTGGTGAACTCGGTTTAGTTTTTGACACTGAACGAGTTGATCACAACTCTGTCACTAAGTCGGAATCCGTTCAGCAAAAGGCCCATATAAAAACCGCAGAAATCACTTCACTCCTGCGACAACACAAAGATAAGCCAATGCATGGGGTCTTCGTCAAAAACATTGAAGAAATCGGCTCATCAAAGCGCATGATCTTCGCTTTCATCAGGTCGAGTGGGCTGAAAACGAAAACTGAGGGGTTCTTCGTGACCTGCCAGGATGATGTTATCAACATCTTAGTCTACCGTAGTCGCGTGATGGTATAGAGGTTCCTGACACAAGGTGTAGAGCCTGCCGCGAGGCGTCTGACTCCCTAATGGACTTGCATGTCCTGCAATGCGGTCTCAGCCTATATCTATCGATATAACGCGGCCCTATAATTGCCTTATTACCACATATGGTACTTTTACGGTATTGACGAGACACCGATGTTGCCCTACGCTCCGGGGGATATTGAAACCCTTGTGGAGAATGGGAAGTGCCGAGTTTATTGGAACTATTCGTTCTCCACACTCTGGCTCATACAAGCTAATAAGTCCTTCTCGACCACCAGAGCAAGACGATATCTATCGTGGAGTTTTAGGCTCCTGACGCGAGACGATCGTCCGAAAAGAGGTGTAAAAACTGATGAAATATCTACATTTTCTCTTCGAACTTCGCAGACTCTATTCCGACCACCCTGCCATTATGGTTGTTCTGTTTGTTGGAGTCCAAGGTGGAATGATACCCTATCTACTCTCGAATCTCAGAATCATGCCGGCTTGCCGTACTAAGGCAGAAATCCCTCCTAGTTCAGTTTTCAATTTAATGTTAGAATTCATTCGTAATGGATACCAAAATGAATATTTTTTTCAGAATATATGTAGCATGTTGTTGCATTTAATGCGATTAACGCGATTAATATAATGTACTTGAAACTGAAAAATCATGCATTTGATCTAGCCAAGGTTTTATTATTGTTCGTGGAGAAAGACCTGTGTGTTTCAGAAAAAATTGATTTTGAGACAAGAGCTGAGAGAGATTAAAAGGATATACATTAATATAGTAACATTTCACAATGCTGATACAATACGAGGACAGGAAAATCCCTTTTGAACTCATAGTTAAACTGCTTGAGCAGTTTAACTATCATTTGTGGTTTCACACCCGTAATTAATTGTTCCCTATTAGTTTTTTTTACGAACCTGATACATCGGGTATCCATAATAATAGTAATTCCAGTAGCTCATTTTCAATAATAAAAATCACACCACTTCACCTTCAAACTTGGACAGATACTTTCAAAAAAACTTCACCCGAGTGGCAATTAATGAAAATACGCACAAATATTGAACATACTGTCTTCGACTGTTTCTATCACGCACTCAGCTGTTTTTCACTGCCTACTAAATCGACTAAGTTGAATCTTACATTGAAGGGGGATGAATCTGGAAGGTGGCTAGCTCGTGACGTCATGTGGACCAGATAACCGGATTAATGAAACTGGACATTGGCGGACGAGGGTAAAAAATATAATAATTCGTGTTTGATAATTATATGTGACGATATGGCATAATTTATAGATAATTCATTACATATGTATTTATGCAATTCAATTACCAAATAATCCTGCCTTTTTCAATTCCTTTTATGTTATTGTTAATAATTATGACAGTGATATTTTCAGGATGTAACATAAATGTTGCACGGCGATTTAATTTTGTTATATGGTAACAATATACATTAAATATCACCATCACATGTTTATAACATTTACAGTTAACCTTATTGATTTTCTTGATGAGAGAGAGGGAAAGGAAAGAGCAAAATTGAAACTATGACGGAAACAGAAGGAAAAAAAAGATTTGCAGAT